TGTGATTAAGAAACATAGTTAAACCACCTAGGCTATATATATATATATATATTGAAATAATATGTGATTAAGAAACATAGTTAAACCACCTAGGCCATGTGGCCAAGTTGTGAACCGTGCATGCATCCCTCTTTTATTTTTTATTTTTTTTAATCAACTGTGGTCTTACACTTAAATTATGTGATATGGGTGTTTCTTACCCTTTTTTTTTACTTTGGCCTATTCTTAATTCAACCCAATGCGCATACATACATGCATGCATGTATACAGAATATATAGACTTCAAATGAAAACACTTTCATTTTACAGAAACACAAAGAACACTTTTTTACTATAATAAATCGCATGCGATATTGTAGTTCACTATATGTGATAATGAATCAAACATGTGGCGGGCCAAGGGGCCTGCAAAATATCATCAGATACAATTTCTATAGTAAAAGAGTGTTTATTTCTTTTCATACAAATGTGTTCTCTTTTGAACCTCCACTTATATATAGAATGTCAAAATCAAACAAAAAGACTTTTAATTTGTGAGAAGATAAGAAATTCCAAGATCATATGTGATAGAAAATACGTAATCACGTATGATACAAACATGTTCTGTTGACTGGTGAAAGAGCGGGCAACCTTTTCAAGGGTCTCATCGAGCAAGTCGTCCATGTCTTTCTTGAACAACAATATGATTTTACTCTTATAATCATAATTCATATGTGATCTTGAAACTTCTCGCAAATTTATCGTTTTTTCTTTTGATCTTATTATATATAGAGAGGGGGGGGGGGGGGGGGGGGGGGGGTAGGTGTATGCCTTCAAAATGTAGAGGTACATAGGCTTAACAACTTTAACCTTTCAAAAATAGATTGTGGTCGGTCCTTTTATTTTATATAACAGTGAAATGTTTAAATTGATTTTTTGTATATTTCGACTAATTTTATAAGTATCTGAAAGTAGTTAGATAAAATAATCCAATAGTCGCGACTTTTGAAGGACTTCTGCCAGTAACTATTAGAAACCAAGTTCAAGATTTTATTATGAATTAGGGCATCTATTAAAATTAAAAATCAATCAAAACCGTATTTCCTTTTACTCTTGAAATGTATGTATATGTGTAATTAGTTTTATAATTGAGGTTTGGATTTTTAAGGATAAAATAAGTAACATCTTAAGTTAATCACATCATTTCAAATTAAATTCAATTAAATAATTTAACACAAATAATTAAGCATATATATCATTTTTGTCTTTTCTCTTATTCCAAACTAACTGTTTATATTTGGTTAATCTGATTGAAGTTAAATAAATATTATATAAATAATAAAGTTATCAGGGTAAGCTTTTTTTCATTGAGGTATACAAAATAAATCAAAAATCGCAATGGGTTTTGGTAATTTTAAATAAATATATATATATATAGGGAAGGGTTCAAACGAGAACC